GTATGTTAGTAATTTCACATTTAAAAGGATCTACAACCCAATTCACAGTTTGTACATCTAGATCTGAAAAGTAGTCAGAGAACCGCTCTCAGAGTTTGGTAAGATGAAATTAGAAAATTTCGCTATTACCCAAAAAAAAATCATTTTTACCCCATTTTGGGTAATTTACCCCGGTTCCCCGACCGCTGGTGTAGAAGAACAACCATGATTGATTTGTCAATAATTTTTTGCGACCCTTACACTTTTGAGAATCACTGGTCTACATGATATTTTGACTAAATAATAACAGACAAAACAAAGGAAATTTGAATTTATCTAAAAGTATTAAGTAATGTGAGTTGAATGATTGCAACGTATGTAGTTTAAATTAATTACTTGTATATATCTTTACTGATAAAAAAAACACTTTAATTTGTTAAGTAAGGAAAACTAACGTAAATCATGTCGTCACTGCATAGTAAAACACTTATGTTATTGGTTTAATTACATATGTTATAAGTATACTTACATGGTCCAAACAGGCGTTGCATTAATCTAAATTTGTGGTTAATAAAATGGAAGTGATAATGAAACGATATGCGTTAGGCAAAATTTGTTTTTAATACATCATCATGAGTGTTAAACTAAAAAAATAAAATAAAAACATAATCATTATTCGATAAGAAATAGAATTAAAAGTACAAAAATAATAATCATTGGCAAATATATAATACATATAGTATAATAAATATAATTGTTTGTTTGTTGTTTTTTTCTTTCGCTTTCTTTTGTTTATCCGAGAACAAGAATTAATGGTAATTACACGATCTCACTAACGAAATTCGATTCTTAAATTTGTATGTAGTGCCTCAGTTTATCTTTGTGCTCACACCTCAATCGTCCCGAATTTACACACACGTAAATCCAAAAAAGATGTACAAAGAAAACTATTGACTAGAATTGGTTATTTATATCTTACTTTTGTTTTGTCTGTTATTAATACATATTGTTGTTGAATTTTTTTTGGTGTGTTTATCAAGAACATTAATTCATCGTTTTGGTTTTTTCTTTGATTCCATCAGCATCTTCAAGATTGCACATACTGCACACCTCTTTGCTGGTCTCGAGGTACGTCTCGCTCATGGCCTTGTGAGTCATATCCATAAGCTTCTCAAGGTCCTCCGTTGTCATGCCTTCCGTGGAAATCGGCGCGAGCGTTGTTATAATCACTTTCCCTGCGGCAAAAAAAAAACAACAACGACAACTGTGAGTAACGGTTTTTCACGTTAAATCCCATGAATTCTTTCTACCTGTATCGAAGCGTTTGTTCTTTTCGTCCAGGAAGTAATACCTGCTGTAGACGACTGGGAGGATGGGCAATTGCGCTGCGATGGCGAGATGGAATGCGCCCTTCTTGAATCCGTGGATTTCGCCGGTGTTGTGCCTCGTTCCTTCCGGAAACACCCACAGCTTTATCTGCAACACGCGCACACCAATTATCACCGATATTTCCATAAGCATAGAAATGTCGGCTAAACAAATTCTGAATACTTTCATAATCATTTTCTTGCGTCCTTAAGAAGATAAGATAAAATAGCTTAATATACAATAGTTTAATATAAATGAACGTCTCTGCAAAGACCCAATTAAAAGAAAACAAATATTACCATTCTGATCAAAATCCCGACATTTTTAAATTCAGATCGAATGCATTCTTAGTGTGAAGAGACAACGAAGGGACGTCAAAAGAGAAAATAGAATATTCTCTCGGTTATAAATGACAGATAAAATAGAACAACCATGAATTATATTCGCGAAATAGTTCACATTGTTTTTTATAAAATAAAATTCATTTAAGTTTTTGTTCTCAATTCACAATTGTATACCTTATGTATGTATATTATCATTCAAACAATTCTACGCTCGATTCTTTATATTTCTAGTATACAACCTAATTATACAAATAAATATGGTGCATTGACAAAGTTGAATGCGTTCTCCGCATTAGAGAGAAAGGATTGCCAAAATCCACTAAAATGTTCGGGATTTTGGTACTGTTGGTATTTTCAATGTCGGGATTATGGTTGTCGAGATTTTCACTATGTTGGGATTTCAAATGTTTGATTGTCGGGATTTCGCTATAGACTCTTATAAAACAATCGCAAGAAACAAGTATTATTAAACACTTAAAACCAGCTTATATAAAATCACAATCTTGTCAAAAATTAATAATGTACAATCTTTACAAATTCTCAGTTTTATCATAATTTCTGTATGTTCTCTCATTTTTAATATAATTCTAATAAATAAATCGAATAAAGAAATAATCATCAACAAATTAATACATATTAATATTTCAAGATGAAAAAAATACTGATTTCGTTGATTTATATTTACTACATTTTATCAAGTTAATGTCTTAATAAGAAAAAACAACTAAGAGAATGTTTTTTTTTTACTTTGCATATATGAGAAATAATCTATAACTTTAACAATTTTTACTATATAAAAACAATCTGAATAAAATGTGTTTAAATTGTATAAAAAAAATAATATTAAAATAAAAACTTTTCTCTAAAGTGCGGCTTCAATTAGTCCGGATTCACTATTGTCCGGTTTGAAAATTATAAAAGACAACTAAATGTTAATTGACAAAAAATTAGTACACAGTTTGTCCCTTTATACAGTTAAGTCTCTTTTTGTGCGGTTTCTCTTGGAAAGTCCTTCATTGATCCGGTTTTAAACAGTCTGAATCCCGTAGTATACGATGTTTTGTTATATATTTAAAGTATAGGGATCCCTCGACTTACGAACTCCCAGACTTACGAACAAAATTCTAAAAGTTCTAATTGTCCAAACAAAAATTGATAATTTCTTTATATTTCTGGTATACAACCACACTTCAATTAGTCCGGATTCACTATTGTCCTGTTTAAAAATTATAAAAGAAAACTAAATTTTAATTGACAAAAAATTAGTACACAGTTTGTCCCTTTATACAGTTATGTCTCTTTTTGTGCGGTTTCTCTTGGAAAGTCCTTGATTGATCCGGTTTTAAACAGTCTGAATCCCGTAGTATAGGAGGTTTTGTTATATATTTAAAGTACAGGGATCCCTCGACTTACGAACTCCCGGACTTACGAACAAATTTCTCAAAGTTCTAACTGTCCAAACAAAAATTGATAATTTCTTTAATAAAATATAATATTTTTGGAAAATGTACTATCTGTTTTGTTGCAATTATTTCATTTGTCGTTTTTTATTAAATAATTGTGATGTCTTCATTGAAAAGTATTTGTAAGTATTTTGTTTATTTTAATCTATTTTTTCAAATTTATGCAGTCTGTAATACGGAATTTAACAAATATAATAGTAAAAACCATGATAAAGTGTAGTAAGATAAGTATATTTGGAATTTTTTTAAATTCCCCCGACTTACGAACAAGCCTTTGGAACGGAACTAATTCGTAAGTCGGGGGGATACCTGTATTTTTAAATGGTACTAATATTTAAATAATACCAAAATATTGTCAAATTTTAATTTTTATAAATTGTAGATCAATTCTGCAAAATAATTGAACCTCAACAATGAAAAACACTTGAAGGCCTCGTACATTTTTATATTAAGAAACGAATTTGCTAAATTCTTTGTTTTTCTTATAAACAAATTATATGAAAGTAATTGCGTTTACTTAAAATTTAATTCCTCTGTTATCTCTTAATTGAATGAAGTAAGCGTGTCTGACAAATATAAATTACAAATCAATAACGTTAATAAATAACAATATTATTTAGTAAACGTTTTTGTACTTATTAATGCATTACTTTACATAACTTTAGGTTTTCAAGTCGTGTGTATTATATAAATTATGAATGAAATTGTGCATAAATATTACAACGTCAATATTTATTTTCTCACCTATCTTAGGTAAATAAAGCTATTATCTTAAGATTAACAATTAATATTAGTATAGTGCGAGAAAAACTCTCATAAATTATGTAACAAATGTAAATTATTTAGATCAAGTTAATTTCGACAACAATATTAGCAATTAACAAAGTTATTTCTTCAATTAAAATTTGCAACATAAAATGTTATTTATAGCATTGTTATTAATTGAATGCAAATAATTAAATTATATACATTTTAAATAATAACAACGTGTTGAGTTACGCTTAAATGGAGAGTTATAATTTCGGATACTGAACCTTTTAGCATGTTTACACAGATGTGTCGGCCGACTTTATAAACGTTCAACGTTCGAATGTAAACTACACCAAACGCTACCAAAAAAAAAAACAAAACCTGATTTTAAATTCATAAACCCATATAATTTAATAAAATACTGTAGCCTTTGAATGAAATACGTTATAAGGATTCTGTCCATATATTTTCAAGATAACATCGACGTTTACTTTAATCATTCAAACAAATACCTCTATTTAATGTGTACTGAATCATGTGTATTTACTAATTGAAAACAGAAAAGCGCAGAACATACGATTATCTAATATTTAAAAAGTGCAACAATGGAGATTTATTGCATCGTTACACAACAAACAAACCCATAAAATATAAAATAGTAGGCGGAAAGACTGCAATCAATAGGATTTAGTTTATGTTTTTTTTTCATGCTCATAATAAACTTTACTGTATTATATAAATAAAGTAATGATTATTGTATTTGTGTGTTCGCAATAATAGTAATAAGGTCACCAATTAAATAAACATAAAACAAAAAGTTCTTAAAAAAAATTCTGATTGTAGTTAACTTTCTTGGCAAACTTTCAACTTTGACTTTTCAATTGGTTCCAGCAATTGATTTCACGATTTACCTGTAGTAGCTTTTATAGTAAAAACACATCTTTATAGAAAACAACTTTCACTTTGTGTGAAGTAGAGTTAACTTCTAAACAAAAAGTGAAAAATCTTTGATATTCATTACACGACTTCTTGTGTTAACTATAATTTACAGTCGAATCAATGTTCTTTTCTTGCATATAATAACAGTTCTTAATATAATGTTAAAAACTTAATGATTGTTATTAATAAATATATTTTGTAATGGTAACATTACAGATCGATTCGTGATTTCAAATCCAACTGAAATTGATATGTGCGACTAAACACTTGTCGATCGAGCATTTAGAAAGTAAATAAAGGAAGAATACGAAGTTCAAGAAGACTAAAAGCTCCCTAAAATCAATGCCGGAAATGTCGATTAGATAAGGCTTTAAGAGATTTATCTTTGTGTAGTGGAAAGAAGACATTAGAAGCAACTAAAAGCATTTAAGGAGACATAATATAATAACAGCATTTTCATGTTTTTAACGAGACAAAACGTCTTTATGTTTCATGCAGAAACCATACTAATTAGGGTAAAAAGTCTAACAATTATGATTTAATTAATAGACAGAGTTTATTTCGTTTATTACGGAATCTCTTGTTATTTAATGTTTCTTACAAAAACAAGAAAAAAGTAAAAAGATCTTAGTAGATATTATCTTGAAATATATTTCTGTCTTTGTTGTTTAAATTCAATTGGACCGTATAAATATTCATTTGAAACGTATTACGTGAGAATAATCCCTTTATGCATATGCATGCCTACGAAATTTGAATATTGTAATTTCATTTTTGAAAGAAACTCCACGTTTAATGAAACCGCTCACGTAATTGGGTCGGTAACTCGGGGTAACTCGATGAAAACGTAAGTGTAAACAAGAGCAAAATATAATTGGCAGTTCTAAAATACCTTTTTTCTCTTGATCAGCTCACCGGCTTCGTTCATAGCCTCCTTGGCTTTATTGGAATTCATCCTGTCTATGAATATGAGACCGCAGAGCCATGAGGCAAGGCCGAAGGGCCAGATGTAGAAAAGCTCCTTCTTTGCAACCACCGTGCATTTGTCCATTATCGGCCACATATCGTACATTCCTGTAAAATGTAACAATATGTTTTTATTTGCATAGGGGGTTGTGAAAAAATTTAATTTACCTAGAACATCTAGGGAGCTTTGGTGGTTCGCCACAATGACACAAGCCCTCTCCTTCTCCAGATGCTCCTTCCCACGAAGTATCCATTTCAGCCCCAGCAGCGGCGAAACGTTCTTACAAATATATGAGCTTATTCTGTTGAAACAAACGAACATTCAAGATCTATGCACTTTTAGAAGAAAAAAAATAAACGAACTTACACTAAGTTGCGGACGTTCTTCGGTCTGAACGCAAAGATCGGAATGAAGAGTACTGCGAAGAACGAGACGACGACATAGTACGAGATGAACTTTACGTAGAACCTGAAGCTCTGGCTGGACTCGTACAGGAAGGGTAGCGCCAGGCAGCAGATGGCCATCAATAGTTCAACGTACATAGGATTCATGTTGTTGCTAAACTTGATTTTCTCTCTATACGATTATTTTCTTCCTCCCTGATCCTGATTCTTCGATCACCAAAAATGTTCAATGTTTTAAAACTAAGTTTCACTGTTTAATACTTAATGCGATTCTTCGGGCTGGTACGCCTTTTGCGTTTATTTATAGTGGGCGGCTGTTGGATGTGTTGAATTGATTTTCTCGACTACTACTACCCCCGCACCCGAATTTCGCCGCTCGTCTCGGGATGCGAAACCGATGGATTGATGCTTCACATTTGAATGTGCCGCCAAATGAAAGCAACAATTGTACATGGGAACAAGAAGCGCAAAGCTCCCGTCAAACGTGTGTGCGAGTGTTTTTCTTACAACAATTGAGAACGAACGGCCTCCGACGATAACAACGTCGTGCTTTGTAATGCAGACGAGATGCAAGAGTGTGCGTGCGTTCTGTACTCCAGCCGAACGGCAACGAATCGCGCACCGTCTGCATTCGGTTCGTAAACAAAAGTTGCAACTGTCATAAGGACTCTTTGACAGCTGTCACGGCAGTTGGTTGGGATCATCATAGGGGGTGTTTCGTTTCATCTGAGCCGATAAATTGAACTTCCTGAAATCGGTTGATGTTATTTGTTGTCTTTCAGAAGCACCAGGTGGCGCCTTCATAATATTTCAATTGTATTCCTGAAAATGCACGTGGTTTATGCTTAATCTTTGTAAAATTTTCAGATCCGTCTTTAGTTATTTTAAATCCTTAACAGTAATATTACTAATTCTATTACTTAAGACCTTTTTTACTAATAAACATCAAACGCCAATGACTTTAAAACTAAAAAAACTAAATTATCAGTATAATAAACATATTTTCTATAAAATCGTCTATTATCATATCTAAAAACTTTTTTTAAATTTACTTTTTACTTTACTTGATAAAATATTTTCAATTTTTCAAAAAGTTCTTTGTTTTATTCCTGTATAGGCGATAAGTTTAGAGATATTTGGTAATAAATATTTGAACTTTAAAATGTATATTTCTTCCAAAATATTTGACATTCTTCGTTCAAACAGTCACTGGACGAAATAAAAAGATGTTTTAATCTAAGTAGTTAATTGCTTTTGATAAAATATTTTTAATTTTTCCAAAAATTCTTAATTTTATTTCATTAAACTTGATAATTTTAGAGATATTGTATCAATAATTAGTAAATATGTGATAACTTTAAAATAGATTATTTTTTAAATATTTATGCCACCCTCTCAGTTTTAGTTTGATGAGATTACAAGGTATATTTTCTAAATAATTTTCAATAAAATACTGTTAAAATATATTTTAGTCATAAAACACACATATATATTGTTTCACATTTATTAACCGTCAGTTGAATATATGCTTTGACAAATTTATCAATTTTTTAAAATAATNNNTTTTCACAGTTTTTCTTCTTTGTAATATTTATTACTATTGAAGTTGAGCTTTATGAAACTAAAGTAATTGATATTGGACATTTTGAACTTTATTGAATACTAATAAATTATTAACTGTCAGTTGACAAATTTCTGAAATTTTTGTAACAATTTTATAATAAATTTCATAATCAATATTTTTTGTTTTTTCAATTTTTCTTCTTTGTAATATTTATTAATATTGAAGTGGAGCTTTATGAAACTAATAGTAATTTATATTGGACATTTTGAGCTTTATTGAATACTTATAAATGACAGTTAATAAGTTGACAAATTTCTGAAATTTTTTAAACAATTTTATAACAAATTTCATAATCAACATTTTTTGTTTTTTCAGTTTTTCTTCTTTGTAATATTTATTACTGTTGAAGTTGAGTTGTATGAAAATAATACTAGTTGATATTGGTTTATTTTGAACTTTTTTGAATATTTATAAACTATTTTATTAACTGTCAGTTAACAAATTTATGAATTTTCTGAAATAATTTTATAACATATTTCATAAACAATATTTTCTGTTTTTTGTTTCAGTTTTTCTTCTTTGTAATATTTATTAATATATATAGTAATTTATATTGGACATTTTGAGCTTTATTGAATACTTATAAATTATTAACTGTCAGTTGACAAATTTCTGAATTTTTTTAATCAATTTCATAACAAATTTCATAATCAACATTTTTTGTTTATTCAGTTTTTCTTCTTTGTAATATTTATTACTGTTGAAGTTGAGCTGTATAAAAATAATACTAGTTGATATTGGTTTATTTTGAACTTTTTTGAATATTTATAGAATATTTCATTAACTGTCAGTTAACAAATTTATGAATTTTGTGACATAATTTTATAACAAATTTCATAATCAATATTTTCTGTTTTTTTCAGTTTTTCTTCTTTGTAATATTTATTAATATTGAAGTTGAGCTTTATGAAACTAATAGTAATTGATATTGGACATTTTGAACTTTATTGAATACTTATAAATTATTAACTGTCAGTTGACAAATTTATGACATTTTTGAAACATTTTTATAACAAATTTCATAATCAATTTTTTTTTCAGTTTTTCTTCTTTGTAATATTTATTACTGTTGAAGTTGTCAGTTGACAAATTTATGAATTTTCTGACACAATTTTATAACAAATTTCATAATCAATATTTTTTGTTTTTTTTCAGTTTTTCTTCTTTGTAATATTTATTAATATTGAAGTTGAGCTTTATGAAACTAATAGTAAATGATATTGGACATTTTTAACTTTATTGAATACTTATAAATTATTAACTATCAGTTGACAAATTTCTGAAACAATTTTATAACAAATTTCATAATCAATATTTTTTGTTTTTTTTTTTCAGTTTCCTTCTTTGTAATATTTATTACTGTTGAAGTTGAGCTATATGAAAATAATTCTAGTTGATATTGGTTTATTTTGAACGTTTTTGAATATTTATAAACTATTTCATTAACTGTCAGTTGACAAATTTATAAATATTCTGACATAATTTTATAACAAATTTCATAATCAATATTTTCTAAATAATAATAATAATCATTTATTGGCCATACATCGATACATAAGAAGAAGAGAAAAAAAAGTACAATTTATACATAAATAAATTTTAACATACAATAAAAATATATATACTAATAGGCTGGCCAAAGGGCTAACGCAATATTTTCTATTTTTACAGTTTTTCTTCTTTGTAGTTTTTATTTGTATTGAAGTTAAGCTTCCTGAAACTACTAGTAATTGATATTTGATTTGATTATTTAAAATTTGTTTCATATTTAATAACTGTCAGTTGTGTATATTATTTGACAAATTTCTGAAATAATTTTATAACAAATTTCATAATCAATATTATCTATTTTTAGAGTTTTACCTCTTTCTTTTTCCTTTCCTTCCCACTTCCTCATTTGGCTTCAGCATTTACTTCTTTGTAATACTATCAAAATTGAGCTTCCTGAAACTAGTAGTCACTGTTATTAAAATTTTTCAGCACTAGATGGTGCTTGTGGTTCAATTCTATTCAAATACATTCCAGAAATAACAGACGAACACAAAACTGTACAATGTACATATTTAAACTCATTCATTTATAACAAAGTTCTATTTAGAATCTTAATAAAAAAAATATGTTTTTACACACATTTATATTATGGTTTATTTAATAAAAACTTTGATTATTTCCTCTTTGATAATAAAGTAAAAATATAAATAAATACTTATTAAACATTCTAAGTTATTATCAATAAACTAATAACTTGTGATGGTAAAAGGTAAAATATTTATTTTATTGAATCAATTTATATAAATTTCACTATATTTGTACTTATTATCATTCATCAAACATGAGATTATTCAGACATTAACTGTGATTTTAGTTTTTTTTTTCTCTTCAAATGGACACGATCCTTTTTCTGCCCTCTCGATTGGTGCTTATCGACCTTTATCATTTCGTGATGTTAAAACTTGTTTTTTTCTCTATTTAAAAAAAAAGCAAGAAACATTGGTTTTCTTAAATGAAAATAAATGAAACTTATATTTAATATAATCATAGGAATATCATCTTTTTGATTACAAAACGTCAAAGCAATGATTCATCCAGTTCTAATTTTAGAAATATCCATTGAGCTAACATGATTTCAATAGATATCTAATGTTTTAATAGATTCTAACTTTAAATATTATTTCATCCTAAAGATATAAATAGAATGACCAAATTTAATTATAGATTCATATTTATTAAACTATTAGCTATAAATACATCTTCTTTTCTCGACTGTGCGAACTTCATATTGTTAGATTCAAAGAAAATCTAAGTTTAACTACAGTTATCAAATGAAGCTTAAAATCAACTTTATTGTTTATGTCTGAAATAAATTGGATAAAGTTACCATTATTACCATGATTTAATAATAAAACATGTAAATATATTCAATAGTAAGTAATTATGATAATTAAGGATAATAATCTAGCAAATTAATATTTTAGTGGTAATTGCAAAAGAAAAGAACGAAATCCGTTTTAAAATTTGGGTGAAACGAGAAAGGCCTCTTATTCGCTCCTCTGGCAAATCAGCTTTCAATCTGGACCCATAATCCGTATACCTGTTGTTTTCTTCACGAACCCTCTTACCCTGGCAACCTCCCAAATGCTCAATGTTCTATGTAGCAAAGACTAACCTATTTATATCCTCACCGATAAAATGTGCTTTCATCATCACACATTTTATTTTGAATCACGTTTTACATCTTATATAAACTATAAAAATAATAATAAAATTGTTATTACAGTTTTAATATCTAGTAACATTGTTGATTCTTTCTATAGACTTCATATGAGACTCATTTGTTTTTTTTTTTGAGTTACCAACACATGTCACCCACATTCCTAGAAACCCTTGTTTAACTATCCAATAGGGTCCTGCTTTGTGTATAGACAGACCTTGGGGTCCTTCTCGGAATTCGTTTATTTCTTCCGCTTTTAAACCACGCAGTAGATGATAATATTTCCTAATCATAAGATTTTGTTACTTTAACTAACTCCAAAAAACTATTTTCTTTCACTTGCCTCATACTGACAACAATTGACATTTAGAAATGTATCATATTTCAGACAATAACATAAAAGTTATAGTCAAGTGTAAATCGGTTCCTCAAGGTAAAAACGTTTCGAAAATATTTGTAAGACTAAATTTTTTTCATGTTTATTTTACAATAATAATAAAAGATTTTGGTCATAAAATCTTTTTTTTCTATCAAATAAAAAAACAGTATCTAAATATTTAATAACCAACATAACTTAAGAATATCAGATTTTAACGGATAATCTTGTAACTAGAATCGGCCATTAAATAAATTTCTCCAATTGATTTTTATACATTTACATTGATAATTCCGAACAATTTCATTAACATATTGTTTTTGGAATATCCTTTTATTTACGCATTATTTTTAATATATTAAACCACTTTGTTATACGCCAAATTGCTTAAATTAGAAGGTTAAAATTTAAACGTCAAATTACGTCATTTGAAAAAACAAGTTGATTCTGATATATTGATTACAACAGCAATCCTCAATCGGTGCTCCAACAAGTACACAAACGGGTATTTCTATATATCCTGGTGCTCTTCATTGAAAACACATCAAAATATGTATTTACTAAGAATCAATATAGGTGACAGCTGATAGATTTCATAAATGGATGAAATCTATTGTCTGTCAAATAATAATAATAATAAAACAACTTTTATTTTGTTATGTATTTCTTTTATTTTTACACACATTACAAACAATAAATATATACACTAAACGAATTTAATTCAAGAAAAATGTATGACCTTCTTTTCATCCTTTGATTGATCAAGAATATAGAATACTAGTTCATCAATTCCTGATCCTTCCTATACAAATTTGGTCAAAAAAATCATGTTTCCTCTTTTATTTCTATGTACCATCTTGGTGTTCAAAAATTACTCTCTTCAAGTTGTTTTATTGGTTCTTTTTACAATAGTTTCAGAATTTATTATTTCTGCTTGTTTCTCTTTTCCTTTAATTTACTTATTGTATCTGAATCCTCTATTATCCTCTAATTACCCTATTCACTATAGGGTTGTCCCCAAGTACATCTCATCTGTTAATTTTGTTATACAAAAACAAGCCGTAATGTCCCCAACCGTCGCATTATTATACTGCTGCAATAGAAACATGAAACTTTCGTAAAATACGAATTACATTAATTTGGTAGAAGAGAAGATATCTGTGTTATCGTAATAAAGTGTTTTACCTTTCATGATTTTCAGTCAAAGTTTTGATCAAACTCTGAAACCTCTTCAGTGTTAGTTGGGGACCCATAGTCAGAAAGCGGGTGTTTTCACATTTTTTCTCGGATGTGAACAAACTCTCAAAATTTTCCTCTCTATTCATGCATTCAGGGTCCCATTTCATATTTATGCTCAGGGCCTCAAATTCCAAAGTTTTTATATGACATTTACTAACTAGATTTACATCTTTTGTTTTAATATTTATTTAAAAATAACTTTAAAGAATGAGACATTAAAATTCTCTTTACTATAAACTTTTCGAGGAAATCACCTATTTAGAATGCTTAGATTTCTATCTTATCGACTACGACAAATTCAATGGATTTTTATTTGATTTTGGTTAACTTGTATCACCTTCGTATCGACTATTTGTTTCATATTAATACAAATATTTCTCGAGTATACAATCAAATTTTGTAAAAATTACTTTCTCAGTTTACTTCATTTCCTTTAATATTTGTTTAAACATTAATTTTGCAGAATTTTAAGACTGTCCACATCTATTATATTAAGTCACAACCTGAGCACCTTCCATTCAAATCTTTGATGGCTTTTCTGCGAAGTAAGTTACAGGGTGATTTAAACGTGAAATTTTCAGTCTCTGAACAATTTTTTTGTCTAAAATCGACCCTTTTCACTTAGTTTATCTTATACATCTTTGTACATTTTTAAGTAGCCTATAATGTTTTCGTTAACTACTTTTATATAATTATAAATTCTATATTTAGTTTGAATTATACTTTTATAAGTAATTTGCACTTGTTAATAATATAAATATCTAACATTAAAGTTTTGTTTTTACAAATACTTCAAAACAAATTACTTTATAATATTACATCTATACTTTCTATTAACAAATTGAAGTATTTTACACAAGTAAAATTCTAAAGAAATTTCTTCAAAATGGAAAAAGATTTTTCTTATGTTATATGTGAATAGTGGTGAATGTGTCTGACAACTGTAATAAATTATCGTTCTATATGACAAAGCACATTAGTTGCAAATGCTGTCTGTCTGCGTTCGAAGTCTAGCAAACGTCGATCCTTGCCACCCGGTGCCTAAAACTTTTATGATTGTTTGAAATGTAAAAGAAACACAATATGCTGAGACCGCAAATATATTATTTCTGATGTACCGTTAATATATTAATATTTATTATGTATTTTTTTAATTTATATAATATCGTGAAATAATAAAATTTTGGTATATTAAAAAAATAATAATATGTATGAGACATTTCGTTTCGTTTTTAATAAAGACGAATGCGTCTGACAACTGTCACAGTCTACATAAATTGTGTCTGGGATAAAGTTCAGGGATTCTTCCCTACCTCCTCCCGTCGTCGTAAACTCTTCTGTTGTTCCAATCAATAAACTTGTGTATATAAGCCTTTAACATTCCATTATAGATATGTAACAATACAAAATATGTTTAATATTATGTCATTTATATCTAATATCGATTCGAGTAAAAGTGATTGACAACTGTCATTGTAAACGACGTTTGAATTTTTCTATAGAAGTTTAAATTGTTTGCCTAGGACAATATTTAATTACTAATACAAGACAGCAATAGAAAACGTTAATATTATCTCGTTGTAGTTACATGATATTTAATTTCAATAATTGAAAGTTTGTGAAGTTTTCCGTGATTTGTCGATGTATCTGACAATTCAAATAAACTGTCACTAATCACGAACTAATTGATAAAACAAGATTTTACATAATGGGTGACAAATGTAAAAAAATATATATTTTTTTTAGATATTTTGAATAAATCTCAGAAAATATATATCTCTCAAACATTGGATTAATAAAACTGTAAAAATATATTCTCTTCGTATGAAAATGAACTGTCATGATACATGATATACTCTCTTGAAGCAAGCTTACAAAAGCTAGTTATCTAAAATTTAGAAATAAAATAACAATCATAATATGATACTCAATGTAACAATTTATATCAATATGATTTATATGATATATTATATAAAACTAAAGATTAAAAAATAATAAGAGCAAGTTTATAAAAAACTTAAAATTTGTAGTAGTAACATTCCTAAAATGATACATATGTCTTGAATTGACAAATCAAATAACCTGTTATATTACTTGATATATAATTACTATCATGAAGCAAACTTAGATAAGCTAGTTATCTCAAATTTAGTAGTAATAAATGATACTCAAACATAACAATATATATATCATATATATTTGAACTTAGAAGTTATAAAACTAATTACAAGATGATGGGAGCTAGTTTAGATAAACTAGTGGTCTCAAACTTAGAATTGTCAATTGTAATAATCATAAAATGATACATATAAACTATCAAAATACAATCTTTCTTTTAATTGTATTTGACAAATAAGATAAATTGTTGTTGTTTATGATATATAACTGCTATCTTTAATCATGGTATCAGAAACTTCGAATTGATATAACTTAAAAATACAAATGAAATCTAAGCCGCGTCGTGTTTCTGAGAAAGTTAATGCTCTGGGATACTTGTGTAACGTGTACATATATCATGCAAAGAAATGAGTCCCACGATGAATCGCCTGCAATTAGTTTCATTCAATGAAGCCACCTATATCCGCCGGGAGCACTAGATACAAGGATCGCATCCTGTGCGCGTTGCGAGCGAGAGCGGCGACTCCAATTTATATTTAGCCAGACGAACTCGCTGGATGATAGGTACATTGAGTTACATGGTACATGGATGGCGTCCTGTGAGAATTTCCTTTAATTGTCAGAAGTGACAGGTATCAGGAGACGTGGTCAGATGGCGTTGCTGGTCCAGGATCGGGAGGTTACGGTGCAAGGACCAGGGCAGCGGCTCGGTCGGCTCCGGTGATCTCGCGCGTGTGTGTGTGTGATTGCGTGCATGTGTGCGCGTGCACGTATACGTTCATGCACATAGGCGAACGTGTGTACGTGTACGTATATGAGAGCGCGCGCGCGTGTGTATGTGTGTCTGTGGAAGTGGCGGCCATTTGTGAAAATGGCGACGGCGATGAGAGTTTAGGAATCGTAACGCGAATGTTATCGGAAGCGAGTGAGCAAGTGTCCGAGTGCGCCGAGCCAGGAGGAATCGCGAATACGGTGCGACAGTGTTTGGTTCGAATGCCGGTGCAAAAATGCAGAATGTAGCACAAGGTACGGCCGCAGATAATCCGAAAATAGATAAAGTGAACAGTCAAGTTGTCCAGCAGCAGCACCAGCAGCAACGGCAGCAGCAGCAGCAGCGCGATAACTTGCCGTCGACTCCCATCGTCAACCACCAATCATCGGCCGCATCGAGCCCGACGGAAACCTACTCGGAGCACAGGCAATTCATGTCTGATACCTCCGAAAGCGAAGAGGACAGCGTCTCCGAGGTAATTATCCCGATTTCCATACCCAGAAAATTCCCCCCCCGACTCTTTTGCGCCGCGTATTTACAAAGGTTCACACTCTCTCACACATACGTACACAATCACGCACACTCACCCGTACATGCACACACACACACACACACACATACTCTCCCAGCCAGACAGACACATGTACACATTCATGCTATGGTACATTCGTACAGAACACACACACACACATATATACGAACATATTCACATATACATACATACAGACGGACAGACACAAACCTAGTAGTACATGCACACAATTAAATAAATTCGCTGTTGCCGCTGGCTTTCCAACTCCCCGAGGCCGAGGTATCAATGAACTTCCTTCTTTCGAGAGACATCTTGCGCAGATCTGCAGGATCCGCCGATAGAAAAGAGAGCGAAAGGCAATTGATTCCGTTCTCTCCGTCGAAGACGCCCGCGGTGGTGGGACACCCTCGTCGAGAGGGAGCGGAGGACAATTAACCTCGACCCTAATTATCGGAAAACCGTCGTTCGTCGAGATCGATCGCCGCCGCCGATGATCCAGACGACGAACCGAGCGAACGAGAGAGAGACAAAAAGAGAGAGAGTTCCTTATCCCTGATATTTCGTCTCGCTCGACCAACCCTATCCTGATCATCAACCCAACAGTATATCGTAGACTCCCATCATCAAAATCATCTCTCGCAAGCTGAAAATATTCACCACCAGATGATGACAAAAAAAGGGGGGCGGCTGTGGAAATTGCGCGCGCGCCAGCGCCATCTTTAACCGAGCCTCCTTTTCAATTTCGTCCCATTACATTATATATAAGCATCCATATACATACGTATGTACGTGTATATATAAAACGGAGGTACGGTTTTAGTTTTTTTTTTGTTTAAATTTTGTGCACCTTGGTGTGTGCGTGTGTGTGTGTCGGTCGCAAATTTCTTTTTGTGGGTTTTTTTCGTACGAAGGGGGGATGACCGATGCGTCGGCCACTCTCAATACATCCGACCGTTCGCCATTCAACCATCCGTTCGTTACGTTTCTAACCTAGAAAAAGGCGAACAAAAAGAACCCCCAACACAAAACGAACGTTTCAACCCCCACGAAAGCGAGTGTACGTTCGCAAATCAAGGGAACGAAGTTACGTCGGTCGCATTGGTAGTCTCACGGAAATCGTTGACCGAAACCCAGTGGATAATCAACAGGTACGATACTGCTCGCTTGTAGTCCTCTCCTTTTCGTGCGTAATTGAACCGCCATATCCGTCGGTCGTAACAGGCCATGCGTTGGCCAATTTATTTGGGAACTGTTCGGTAACGCGCGCATTTAACAATAATCATTGCAATCAAAGCGATGCTCCGTTTGTTATTACTTCATTTGGCTATAAACAAATTGCGCCCGCTTTTGCAATGAGCAGATACACGCATTCCTTCTCACCAAATCCTCATTCCCATCATCCAACTGAAAGCACTAATGTAAGTAATATATATTCACTATTGTCTAGTGTTTGTTATTTGTTTTTAATACCCCACTGATTACATCATTCTCAGTCATCCATCGATGCAGTTCTTCAATCCTGTAACCTCACTTTTGCTGTTGACATTTGGTCCAAGACTTGCATCAATTGCTTGTTTTTTGGTGTGTCGACTGCATCTCTGATTACAAAGAAGTTCTATGTCAGAAACTGATATTGTTTAGTTCATTATTGTCATAGTTTATCATCAAGTTTATATATTTCTTATTTGTATTTGATAGTATAATAGTAATATCATTTAACAAACTGAACATTAGGTTAGATTTATAGAAATCTATAAATCAATTTTGTGAAACTGTTTATTGCATTTAATATCTACCATAACCTAAATTTGTCAACATTTCATCTGTCAACTTCATAGATCCAAACAAATAATATAAGAATATTAACGTTCATTTGATAATCATGAACAATATGTGTGAACTTTATTATCATAAATTATCATTGAAATTGTACTTTAACCTTAACTATTTATTTTAATCTCAAGTAAAATAGGTTCATTTTACATGCATCATGTTGTCATTCTTTCACTCAATATCTAAAATTTATCTCATGTTTCTTAAGTATAGTGTCAATTTGGAGTACTAACATTCATTGAATTAACTGAAAATATTTCATTTACTTTATACAATTCATTACTATGAATCAGTTTTCATTTAAGTACAGAATTTACTAAAATTGATAAAATTACATAAAAAAAACAATCAAATTAACATGTACTGTATATCAATTGCTGTATATCAATTACTGAATCACTTGAACACATTATACAAAGTGTATTGTGCATTTGTGATATTTGATACAAATAATAATTATTTTTATTAATTGAAAAGCAAACTTAATACACATATATTATAAATTATATATAACAATGATCAATATTACTTTGATTTCAAGTCTACTATGTGTATGTGTATTAAATTAATCACGTGACATACAATTTCGTTTTGACGAGTCTTGTTATAATTTATAGGTTAAAAATAGTATTTATTTTGAAGTGCATTATTACTGCATAATATGCTATAGTAGTGTCCTATAATGATGAATCAATAACATCATAATTAAATTGACATTTCGCGTATGCCAATAGAAAGGTGAAAGCAGACATGTGTAATGTAAATATAGAATCAATGTAATGTGTTAATTGAGATTATTTACTATTTCAAATATAATCTTAGCATTTCAATTATGTAAAGTTTTTATTACGAATTTCAGAAGTATCACAATTGACATAATCTATATGAATCATAAAAGGTAGATGAAAGTATATACTATTTCTAATATATGTCTTTAAGTTAACAAAGAACAATATGCAAGTATTATATTCTTTATTATTTCATCAGAGTAGCATTGAATTGAGTAATTTATGAAGACATCAATTTGTGAATGCTTAATGTCGAAAAGCATTTGTAATGACAATACTATACATAAAGTATAATTAATGATTGTACAATAAGCCAAAGAATGTTATTTGATGTTGTGCCTCACATTAAGCATGCCTTAAATGGTTTACATTTTCCTTTCACATGCGAATCATTGAATGAAAATAATGAATAAATGCAGTTTCTTGTTTTTAAGAACAATGTTACGTACGTTTGGATAGTGTTATCACGCTGTTATCAATTGCCTGTGCGCATACCATTCTTCTGTGCTGTAATACGCATGTTTGCTTTGTTAGTTGATAGACACTATGAATTTGATTATGTATTCATTTTTTTTTTTGGAGAATTATTCCAAAAAACTCGTTTACAAATGTATTTTAACAGAAATGTGAGTCAGGCAAAATCATTGACTCATTCAAACGTTAGGTTAACAAGGCATCACGTGAAAAACTAAGCAAAAGGAACAGATGATATCTTTGAAACAGAAAATAGTAGTAAGTTCAGTGCGCGCCGGAGCCGAAAAGAAAATGGTGTCCTGTTTACTGCATCTAATAAAAATGCATTGAATCGCTATAATGTGTGTTGTATGCGTGTCTGTGTTAGTTGAGAAGAGGTCAAAGGTCTTCCATGCATTATTTTTTAACAATTCATGTTTACCAATCTTCTAAATGTGGCCGTTCAATTATCAAGCGTTTGGAATACATTAAATGGAAAACGAATAGTGCAGGCATATATTTTTTATATCTATATATATTTGTGGAGAATTGAAGTCCGAATGATTGACCCTCCAATTGAAATGTCAAATGTCTTTGAACTCTCTATTGCTCAAGGTTTAGGCTTCACGCAAATACATAGATTTTTCAAATTAAACGCCGAGTAATCAATTTCTCGACTCGTTTATTGTAGGTGCAAATGTCTCCTGGGCTAAGTACTTCAGAAAGGACGTTTCGCAATGGTATTTTTTTTTTAGTATTTCGTCCGCCTGAATGTTAATGATTTCCCAGGGTCATTTCAACTAATCATTTTGCAAATTGGTACGTTTCCATTTAAATTCGTCGACCCACGTTATTGTTTTCTCTCTTTCTATATATATTTTTTTGGAACACTATTGTATTACTCACTGACCAAGACTACTTTTTCCAAATACTGACATTCTTTCGCAGTGAGGAATAGGTTCTGTTGTGGTGAATAGAGCCTAACGTAAAATGCGTTTATTTTATTTTTTTTTTCTGGTATGTGCGTATACGTATTTTGCCTGTGAACATATTTGAAGGAAACTGACTTTCTCCCGACCATTGTGTTGCTGCACGCCGTGTACTTTACATTGAAGAGAAGTCGTCCATTATATTCATTCGCTGTTTCATTTTTGTTTCAAACAGTTTTGTTTTTATATTAGAATTATCGTAATCGCGCGAATATTGAGCGCAACAGAGTTCAATGAAAGCAAAATCGAAGTGGCTGCAGCGGTTATATTCTTCTATTTTTACTTCTCTCTTTTTTTTTATTCTCTGTCTGTTTCTTTTTTTATTTATTTTCGTTTGCGTTCGGGTTTCGTTAAAATCAACGGGGCCCCGGTTATATTGTTAAACAATCGATTCGAAATTTCCATGACGACACGATTCGGGGCGACGCTGAAATTGCGCGGTCGTCGCCATGGCTACTTACCAATAGAACAGACAGCGAGACATGTTCTTGCTATTAATATGTAATATGCCCGATATTTTCCCTTCCAATGCTACCGTATTACACTTTCCATCCAACCGAATAGTCATCACCGACAACTTTGAAACCTCTTCCAATTTATCTAAGTTACAACCCCTTTTCAAGGCCTCTCTCCATCTTGTTATAAACTATTAACTCTGTTTTATTTTTCTTTTTATAACAAACTGTGCAATACTTCTTCTAAGTAATCCTCATTTATCCGTGAAACTTAATCACCCGTAACGCAAAGGAGTCGATCCCCCCATCCATCCATAATCTCTTACTATTATACTGAAAACGAAGTAAATGTTTTTATCGAAGTACTTTAAATCATGTTTCTTTTTTAAACTATATAAATCAGATAAATCATGTCTTTCAGGTACATGAATGTAACAATTCTTTTCATTATCTGTGTGTCTTCTTTTGATAGCTGAAGCCAGAGATCGGAGACCACAAACGGAGTGGGTTTGCTTCGGAAAGGTCTGCGATTCGGATTCGATGCATTAAGTGTGGCTTCGAATCGTTTTTATTTTCTCAATCCATTCTATTGCATGTAGCTGTGACGAAAAGCATGTTTTAGACGTATTAATTGTCGTTTTCAAAATTTCTAGATTATTTTATATAATTATATCAATTATTTAATTTGCGTGCCAATTTATTAGAATTTGGTTTCGGTGTTTCCACTTTTTGGTTTAGATCTTATATAGAAACTACAGGTCTTACAGTTTTTTGATGTTAATAATTTTATTTATCGTATATTTCGGATTTTAACCTAAAATTAAAACAACGAGAATATCAATAATTAACATTTGCAATACCTAAGTTAAAAATGTCGAAAAACGTTTGCGTTAAATCGTAAATTTAGGTTAAAATCGTGGCGATTGTTGAATCAATATTATTATTTTTGCTATCTATTGATTATTTTCATATCTAGTGTACAACGCGAATGAAGCATCCGCTTTAATTATTATTTTCTCAATTTTTTTTTTAATACTTAGAACGAATTTTGTGGCCCAAAGTATGTAACCCCCTTAAATGCATTACTTCAGATTAATCTACATTTAAACATCTAATGATGTTCTCTACTCCAAGTGAATCAAAGTAACTATTATTTCCACGCTTCATTCATCTATCCGTTTAATACCAGTATTTTTCAATTACTCGTTGACACCTTTATAACTATCGTCTAAAACTACCACTAACCTGTCATACTATCAGTAGTTCGCTTTACCTCGCCAACTGAGATATCGTCCCTTGATGGGAATTATTTATTAATAAATTACATTTTCCGTAAATTTTTCGAAACTGAAATTTCTCATATCAATCTGCAATTTATATAAGATTAGTTGAGTTGGCGATATTAGGAGATTGATCGAATCAAGGAGGAAAATGCAGTTGCCCAGCTGCTTATCGTATCATTTGTTTTTTTAAAAATTATGATATGAACATTTATACCTTTTATTGAGTAGTGTTGCATTTTTTGTTCCAGGTGGAGTCATTTGTGATAGATCAAGAGTACGAAGAGGATCCCCAAGTAGAAGCTGAGAAGTTTCTCTTAAGTCAGGAAAATAGATCGGTCGATCCGGAGACCCAAGCTCGTTTGGAGGCACTACTCCAGGCAGCAGGAATTAGCCAATTGGCTACGAAGGATGGTAAACATCTTGCCGATCCTGAAGTATTGAGAAGACTCACTTCGAGCGTGTCCAGTGCATTGGACGAAGCGGCCGCAGCGTTAACGCGTATGCGATCTGATACATCGACGCACGTCCAATTAGCAGCGTCAGCAGCAGCAGCAGCGGCAGCAGCCGTAGTTGCATCCAAGCAACAACAATTGCAACAGTTGCAGCAGCAGCAACAGCAACAAGAACAGACCTTAACGATAGAGGATCAGGAGGAGCAGGAACAACAGCAGCAGGAACCTGAAGAATCGGCTTCGTCGCAGCCACAACCAACTCCGCAGGCGCAGCCAGTGGTAGTAGAGAAGACGCTGTCGTTAGTGGAAGCTTGTACGGATGGTGATGTTGGTACAGTGCGTAAACTGTTGACTGAAGGAAGATCAGTGCACGAAACGAGCGAAGACGGAGAGAGTTTGTTGTCTTTAGCTTGTAGCGCAGGCTATTACGAGTTAGCACAAGTACTATTGGCGATGCATGCGAACGTGGAAGACCGTGGTATCAAGGGCGAATGCACGCCCTTGATGGAAGCAGCGTCCGCAGGACACCTAGACATTGTTAAGCTATTGGTGGCCCATGGCGCCGATGTGAACGCTCAGTCTACGTCCGGAAACACGCCCCTCATGTATGGTTGCGCCGGCGGCCATCAAGATGTGGTGAGGTTTCTTCTGGGAAATGGAGCCAGTGTGGAGGATCATAATGAAAATGGACACACACCTTTAATGGAAGCGGCGAGCGCAGGACACGTAGGCCTTGCGATGATCCTTTTGGAGAACGGCGCCGGCATCAACACGCACTCCAACGAGTTCAAGGAGTCTGCCCTGACGCTTGCATGCTACAAAGGTCACCTGGAAATGGTCAAGTTTTTATTGGAAGCAGGCGCTGATCAAGAGCACAAGACCGATGAAATGCACACCGCCCTGATGGAGGCGTCGATGGACGGTCACGTTGAGGTGGCCCGTCTGCTGCTGGACTCGGGTGCCCAAGTCAACATGCCAACAGACAGTTTCGAATCGCCCCTAACGCTCGCCGCTTGCGGTGGCCACGTGGACCTCGCCATGCTCCTTATCGAGCGAGGCGCTAACATCGAAGAGGTCAATGATGAGGGCTACACCCCTCTCATGGAGGCCGCTCGAGAAGGGCACGAAGATATGGTGGCTTTACTTTTAAGTCAAGGTAATTTACAAACCAATACGGATTATAATACTTTGCAACAAAATATTATAATTTTAGGTGCAAACATAAATGCGCAAACTGACGAAACTCAAGAAACTGCTCTTACGTTGGCATGCTGCGGCGGTTTCACCGAGGTAGCCGACTTTTTGATAAAGGCCGGTGCCGATATCGAATTGGGCGCGTCCACTCCGCTCATGGAAGCGGCGCAAGAAGGCCACCTGGAACTTGTGAAATACCTTCTGGAGAACAGCGCTAATGTGCACGCCCAAACGCAGACGGGCGACACCGCTCTGACCTATGCATGTGAAAACGGCCATACAGACGTCGCCGATCTGCTCCTGCAGTACGGTGCTGATTTGGAGCACGAATCCGAGGGTGGCCGCACCCCCTTGATGAAAGCATGCCGTGCCGGACATCTATGCACCGTCCAATTCCTCATCTCCAAGGGTGCGAATGTCAGAAGGCAGACCACCAACAATGACCATACCCCTCTTTCACTGGCATGCGCCGGTGGACATCTACCTGTCGTCGAACTGTTACTGGCACATCGTGCAGATCCCAACCACAAGCTAAAGGTAAGTCAAACCACTACCCATCCACTTGCACGAACAATCTTTCATTAAGATCTACACAGAATTCTAATTAATCAAATAAACAGCCATAATAACACATTCGTGATCAGTAGAAGAAAACTTTAAGAATATTAGATTATAAACAAAACTATTCAATAATCATGTTCATGACAATTTAAGAACTGGAATTTAAATAATAATTTATATTGGATACTACTTAATTCAGTATCAATTAGTTATTTGGCAGTTTTAAATTTAACTATTTCTAATTAATAATTGCAACAATTCTATAATTACTTAAAAAATAATTTAAAAAAAACCTTTCAATTATTTCATTAGACTATTGATAACTATATAAAATGTCTATAACAAAATTAAAGCTTGAAGTAAGTAAATTTATTAAAAAAATATAACGCCATTATTTCACAACATTTCTTTGCAAATCTGTGTACTCGGGATTATTGAATAATATATTTAGCTGTTTTTATAAAATAATTACTGGTCAGTTGTCTATTAATCTCGATTCACTTTCACCGTGTAATCTAGCATGCAAATGACGAAACCGATCTCCAGGTCTTTGCGAAATGCAGAAAATCAATGCAACTTTGTCGTTCACATTTATACTGGTATTTTATATTTGTTGACTCTCTAGTTTCTAAAAGAGACAATAATTAAGGAAATATGACAATGTGTAGCATTTGATATCGATATAAACAAAAATAATTCGCTTGCAAACAACAGTTATATGCATATTACGAAAACAATATAAATCGGAAATAATCGCATTCATGTACACAATGATTTGGCGTTTCTTAAAACACATTTTCATATTTACCATTAACAATCTGAGTCCACCTTCCATTGTTATTTGACTGATATTATTTTGATAAAAAAAATACTTGTCTACATTTATTACAAATCTGAATATGAAATTATAATGTTGAACGATTTATAAGAAATATACGCCGCTTTTTTTGCTTTACATACTACATATAAAAACAATAATTTTCACACTAACATCATTTAACAAAATATTTTCAAATTAGTTCTTTCTTCTTCTGAAATCAGCAATCTTTAAACGTGCCGAAATATGGATCAAATGCCTCATGTAATTCTCAATTTCTGTAATGATTCTAGGCATGTGTACGTCGTGAGATTTAAGAGAAAAAAAAGTAATAAATGTTGCGATCTGCTGTTGTAAACGTGTTTGAAGTGGTCGTTGAAGAGACACATCGTGCATACTTTAATGAGAGACAACGTAAGTGAACTTCCACATCGAGAACAGCCGTATGTTCACATCAACTTTATGTTTAGCATATTTACATTCCATATTTTTGACTATATTTATTTCATTGCAAATTTACATCCAAATATCATTTCTGCTAAATATTCACTGAAAGCAGGTAAAGCTTAATAGCATTAAATGTATTTGTTATACAATAAATGTAGTGTATAAGTAATTGGGATATATAAATTTGCAAAAATTAAGCATTTTTAAAGTAATTCTAATAATAATAATGTCAACTTTTTTTGAAAGGTTCATAGAAAGGGACATAGATTTGTTAGAAATATGTTGTCATTGTCTGTTTTCAATGCACGCATATACAAATTGTAAAAAATATTGGAGTACATCTCACTATTGATAATAATTTTTGAAAATAGAAACTTGTATAGAAGGACCTCGTGCCAGTTAAGCTGGTCACAAAAAGTGATTTTCTCTACTAATAGAAATATGCACGATACGATAGCGCAACATCTAGGAAACGTTTTTACGTTATATCCAAATTAAAACATAGTATAAATTATCAATGGAAATTGGAATTGTTAAAAAAAACAATGCAATTCAGAGGTAACAGTACTAAATGTTTCTTTGATCAAATGTAATAGTTGGGTCATTTATGGTAGAAATTGGTCTAAAGTATTAATTATTTAACATGGAGATTAGTTACAAATTGATGTTTGTTTTATTTTGTATCGTTCGGGATAATAAATTTTAAATAATTGGGAGGTTGTCAAGGAGGTAGCTAAATTATTCAGTAATTAGGGTTATACAAAATATAATATATATAATTATAAAGATCATAGATGACAAACTAGTAAAAGCTGTTAACATGTTAAAGTTGGATAAGATTAGTTGCTAGAACTAATATATATGAATAGAATATATATGATTTACTTATATTTGTACGTATTGTGTTGCAGGATAACTCAACTATGTTAATAGAAGCGGCGAAGGGTGGACATACGAATGTTGTGCAGCTATTGCTGGACTATCCGCATTCTATGATGTTGAACCATCAGCCGACAGCGGTGGTTGCAGCTGCGGCCGCCGCTGCGGCATCATCCACAGCGGCTACCAATCTATCTATGTTGCCGGGTCAGGTTGGTAGCCGCGATTCGCTAACTTCCATTAACTTGTTTAACCCGGCGTCCGATTTCTCTCCCGCCGTCCTCCAAGAGGTCCCCGAAGCTGTGCGCATCATCTCACAGATGGACGTGCAGAATGCGGCGGCAGCGGCTGCAGCAGCGGCTTACGCCAGTACGAGCACAACAACCACCACCATCATCAACAGCGTCGCTACCACTACCAGCGTTTCCCCGAACATCAGCACCACCGCAACCACGACGACAGCGACCGGCCAGAGGAAGTGCAGCCGACCATCGCCAGCAGGAACGAGCGCCAACACCGTCTCTACAGTGGCCGTCCCGGTGTCAACTCCAGCTGCAGTTGCTCCCGTTTCCTCCATCACCAACATCTTCGAAGGTGACAGCGGCGGCAACAGCGCGAGCGGCGGTAGCAGTCTGACGTCAGCCGAGGCTCAACAGGTACGCACTTCTCCTCTATCTCCCATCGACTTAGATGATTGCGAAGTTTTTGCCACAAAGGCTGCCATGGAATTCCTTGCCAAGCAGGATCCCGAGAACTTCGGCGAGAACAGGAAGAGCATTCTCGCATACGTCAAGAATCGCAAGAAGAACATCCCGTCCACCTCCGGCGAGGGAAGCTCCCAGAAGAAGCAACTGATCCTTGAAGAACTACATCGAGTGGACAGGGAGTTCCACGGGAAGCAGCAGACCCACAACAATATGCTGTTTCAGTACGGACTGAACGTTCCACAGGATGATCCAGTTGCGGCGGCCGCTTCCTCCGCAGCGGCGACTGCTACAACACTGCCCCCATCACCACCACTCAACATTGACATAGCAGGCATGCAGCAGAAGGCGGGCGCCTTCTCCGGAAGTAACGCCTTCTACACAAGCACTGCCTGTCTGCAGCAGACGCCCATTAAGCTTGCAGCCGATTCTTTTGCCCCGCCGAGTAGTAATAATGCCAACCAACAGCAAGCTTTCTATTTTGCCCCGCTCACTAGTTCTTCAACCGTGGGCACCTCATCGAACGCTAGCACCGTCACGCAGCCAATCAAGTTTCAAACTTCTCCACCACACGCGGAAGTTAGCCAGGTAAATTAACTTATTATTTTTACTCAAATCTATCTTAAATTTTACTATAACAGTCAATAATAATAATAAGAAGTTTGTGCGTATTTAAACTATATAGCAATTGCTACTTCATTTTTTAGATTCTGAATATATAAAATAATGCGCAGGACGTACTGCTACCCCTAATAATAACTAATATAGAATTTATCCGTTGTCAGAATACAGCTATTAGTGATCGACCAAAAGTGAAGCCAGTCTCGAAAAAGGAAGGCAAGAATCTAAGAAAACTCTACAACCCGCAACAAGTTTTCATTCCTCCTCCTCAACAACAACAGCAGCAGCAGCAGCAAGTTGAGAAAATACAAGAAACTCTGCAGGGCTTAGATTTGGACAACCTAGATCAGGAACCTTTTGTGCTCAAGGAGGAAGATGCCACATCCGCCGCCAACCAGGACAGTATGCTGACTGCCTCCATTCTCCAACAATTCCACAGCTCGCCACAACAGGGCGTCATCAGGGCTGAGTTTGTTCCAACTCAAGTACCCGGCACCAGCGATCCCAAGAATGCTCAGCAACTGCAGCAGCGTAAAACCGATGTGGAGTTTGATCATGTTATTAAAGAGGCGACCAAGCTCATGGAGCGCAGAGCCAAATTTATGCGAGAGGACGAAGACGTAAAGAATCTCGAGTGTTACACCATCAACGACGTGACCGAACAGCAAAACAACCTACAGGTAACAATTATTTTATATAATATTTTTATTTACAATCCAAAAAGACTGACGTTCTTAAGTTTACGAACATTATATACAATATGTCGCTATTATGAAACTTCTATGCATTGATAAAATGGATTTGAATTTAGATCATCAATTATCATTTCAAAAATATATATTAGTAACCTTTAATAGGGAACTTTGAATTAACTGGTTTTATGTTATTTACAGGTTAATCCATACAGCGCATCATTGGACGAAAATATGATTGCTACTTTGGCGATACAGCAAGATTTGAAAGATATGACCGGAGACGTGTCCCGAGTAGAGTACTTTGCAGTTCCCAACAACGGTGCTCAACTTCCCGTTCAGGTATTACCATCAACAAGTGTTGCCAAAACTTTTTATATATTTCCAACTGTAATCTGAATAACATTTACTATTTTAAATATGTTCTTACAGCAATCCTTTGAGACTTACGAGCATCTTCTCCAAGTAGGAAATCGAGGATATCAGGCGGGATTCCAAGCGGGTATCAGCTTGATGCAACGCACTTTAGGTGAGGCAATCTTTAAAATCTAACTTTCCGGTTTTCTTTTTCGATTTTACCACTTTTTTTAACAAATTTAACTTGCGTGCGAACTAACATTTGCAGCATGTCCAAATGCCGCATCACCATCCACGACTGAAGCGATCGCGGCGCCGCCTCCGCCACCGCCGCCCGTCACCAGCAGCCAAGCTGCGTCGCCTTCGTGCACCCACTCCTTGGTACAGACCACTACTCATCACTGCGAAGTGCCGTGCAGTCAACACTCTGTTGCTGTCGCTGCTCCCACTAGCACCCAGAATCCGACGAACGTAGCAACGGTTCAACAGCCCCAGGTATCCCACCAGGTGCAAGCAGCTACCCAGACCGTGGCGGATAAGAAGAACAAGTCTACCGTGGTACAGGAAAACCTCAAGAAGAAGGGGGGTCGTCTGGTGTTCAGACACCAGCCTACCTCTAGTAATAACGTCGCGCCAGTCGTTAACAACAACCAGCAGCAGCCGTTCCAAAATAATCAAAACTACCAAATCGATCCTAACTCAGGTAATTTATATGAATAACAAGCGCCCACTAACACCATTAACCTATGCCTACTAGCATAGACGACCTCCCGTTCATCCAGACGGTTAGACCATGAATAATTGACTCATCATTATCCTCTATTTTCTTTATTCTTACAGCCATCACTCAGTACGGTTCAACTGCAGCCAGCCAATATGCCAATGCGGTTGTCTCCACGGCTACGGCTGCATCGCCATCTGTACCTCCGGTCAACTTTTGCATGGATGTGGATTCGGAGACGGAGAGTAATCATGACACCGCTCTCACACTTGCCTGTGCTGGAGGCCACGAGGAGCTCGTTGAGTTGCTTATTGCTCGTGGTTCTAATATTGAGCATCGCGACAAAAAGGGCTTTACTCCTTTAATACTTGCGGCCACTGCAGGCCATGAGAAGGTTGTTGAGATCCTCATCAAGAATGGTGCTGAAATCGAGGCCCAATCCGAACGCACCAAAGACACGCCCCTGAGTTTGGCATGTTCTGGAGGCCGTTACGAAGTAAGCACTTTATAAGACTTATTTATCCCGCAAATATGTGAACTTATTCGTGAGCTCGTCAAAACAGGCCACAAAGTAACATGTATAATCATAGTATATTCCGAAAGGAACTAGTTTTCAGCACCTTTTTTCAACTATATTATTCTATTTCATATATTGGATCACATTTAGATTTGTTAAGGAAAAAAAATAGAATAAACATGGATTAATCAAAAAGTTGATTTAGATGTAGTTATAAGTAATATTTAAAAAAAGCATGTATAGTCTTTGAGCAAATATTTTCATCACCATAATTTGTTGAAAGATTATAGATGAACCAAAAAAAAAGTGTGTGTTAGAAATAATCATTAAGGCGTTCTATATTGTAACTCGTTCGATGGCTCGTCTGTGTCAGCTGTATCTCAATATTCAACTCGAAAAATTCTTTGATTTCAAGATGACCGGAGCCAAAAAAAAAAATAAATAAGTTAGTTTTGTGTGAAGTAATACAATAAAAATTAATAAAAAATGTTAATCTCTGATTTTTATTTAATATTAGCTTACATTGATTACTGTCGAATTAAAAAATACTGTCCGTTTCAAAGAATTTTAAAAAACGAATACATTTAAATACAGATGCATTTTCTATTGCAGTTAAAACTGATATTAAACATTTAAGTCATCATCTTAAGTTTTATGTAAAAGAAATATACTTTTTGATAAATCCAATATTAATATTTAGTATAGACATATTGCTAATGTTGCAAATATTATTGTTCAGGTTGTGGAGATTCTTTTAAACAAGAGTGCAAACAAGGAGCACCGCAACGTTTCCGATTATACTCCACTGAGTTTGGCCGCATCCGGCGGCTATGTGAACATCATCAAGTTGCTGTTAAACCACGGGGCGGAGATTAACTCTCGCACCGGTAGTAAGTTGGGTATTTCGCCATTGATGTTGGCCGCAATGAACGGACATACGTCTGCTGTTAAGTTGCTCCTAGACATGGGAAGCGACATCAACGCGCAGATCGAAACGAACCGAAATACCGCACTGACCCTCGCATGCTTCCAGGGAAGGCACGAGGTTGTCAGCCTGTTATTGGATAGGAAAGCGAACGTGGAGCACCGCGCCAAAACCGGCTTAACGCCACTCATGGAGGCAGCGAGCGGTGGTTACGTGGAGGTTGGCCGAGTGCTCCTTGATAAGGGGGCGGAGGTTAACGCAACTCCCGTCCCATCTTCGAGGGATACTGCTCTGACTATAGCCGCTGACAAAGGGCATGTACGATTTGTAGAGCTGTTGCTCTGTCGAGGAGCTGCCGTCGAGGTTAAGAACAAGAAAGGAAACTCGCCGCTATGGTTGGCCGCCAACGGAGGCCATCTGAACGTCGTCGAGTTACTCTATAATCTGTCCGCAGACATTGACTCTCAGGACAACCGCAAAGTTTCTTGCCTGATGGCGGCTTTTCGCAAGGGCCACACGAAAGTCGTCAAATGGATGGTTTCACATGTTTCTCAGTTCCCTAGCGATCAAGAGATGATCCGTTACATATCAACGGTGAGCGATAAAGAACTGCTGGAGAAATGCCAGGAATGTGTGAAAATCATTCGCGCCGCTAAAGAGACTCAAGCAGCAAAGGCTAACAAGAACGCGTCCATTCTTCTCGAGGAGTTGGATATGGAAAAGAACCGTGAAGAATCGAAGAAAGCCGCGGCCGCGCGTCGCAGAGAGCGCAAGAAGAAAAAGAAGCTGGAGAAAAAGGAGGAAAAGCGAAAACTCACCGAAGAGAACAAAAAGAACGAGGATTATGACGAGAAGAACGATGAAGATCTTGATAAGGCGGCGGACGATGATGACACGGTGCAAGAGAACAACGTGAGCCCCATCATGAATGGAGGCGGTGAATCTGCGGCAGATAAAGAGGAAGGTGATAGTGGTATTGATGCAAACAGTCAAGGAAGCTGCTCTAGCAACGACGTGAAAACTAATCAGAAGAGAAAGGATAAGAAAAAGAAGAAAGGTCAGGCTGCTGCAGCGCAAAGCACAAGCCGCGGAAGCGCGGCTGGTAGCAGTAGCAGCAGCATTCAGAAAGCTGACACAAAGACAGAGGAGAAACGCAATAGAGACGCAGCGGAAACGTCCTCGAAAACGGAAAGTAGCAGCAAGGGCAACAAAGTGGCCCAAGCGAGGAAGGGTTTGGTGTTCGACTCATCCACTCGCAGCCCTGCTGAAAGGGATGATTTCGAAGCAACTGGTGACAGTTTTGTTTCTGCCAAAAGCAGCGGCAGCAGCAAGAAAGAAGATTTACAATCTTCCAGTTCTAAATTGAACTCTTCGACAAGTCCCAAGCAAGCTGGGAAACAAAGAGAGGACGGATGGAAAGAAGTTGTCAGAAAATCGTCGGTACAAACTGTTGCTACCAGCAGTGGTAGCGAATCTGGTGTGAAGAAGGTGTCCGTACCGCTGAACGCCATTTCTCGGGTTATTGGACGTGGTGGAAGCAACATTAACGCGATCCGAGGGGCGACCGGCGCCCACATCGAAGTCGAGAAGCAAAGCAAGGGCCAAGGCGAAAGGATCATAACGATCAAGGGAACGACCGAGGCTACGAGGCAAGCGCACTCTCTTATTGCTATTTTGATCAGAGATCCAGACGTGGACATACTACAGATGTTGCCGAAAACAAATAAGGTTCCATCCTCTGTTTCCACTTCGTTATGGGACAAAACCCAGATTGGAACTAAGAAGGTGGCAGGAAAAGTAATGACGAGCCAAGCAGTTTCATCAACAGTTACAACGTCGTGCATAACGGTGGTCACAACCGCGAGTCAACAAAAATCAATGTTATTGTCTCCCTTTGCCCCATGTCGCTTCAAGACCACGACCATTACGTCGCGTGCTACACCCACCGCCGCAGCCGCGTGCTCCGCCCCTACACCTAGACTGCCTGCTAGCGGCTCCGTCCCACAACCCGAAAAGATAGCAGTTCCATCTTCGTCCTCCGTTTACCAACGCAACATAGTCACTGCCGCCGCCAACTCATCCACCACAACGACAACTACCACGACCCGATCGACGGGCGTCAAAACATCGAGCCAGACGTTCGCCGCTAAACTGACGGAAATCAATCAGAACTCGCAACTGCTGGTGTCAGTTTCGAGCAGCAGTAGCAACAGCAAATCTAGATTGATGCCGCAGCAACAGCAGACGTCTCCACAAAATCAGCCAAGTAACCAATCCTCGCCGAAACACCATCACAGTAGGCCGACGCCCACATCATCTGCACCACCCAACATGCAGCACTATCCGACGAGCAATAAGCCGTTCTCCGCATCGGTCTTGCCCACATCCAACGACCTCGTGATCAGCCAACCCTGCAGTCCAACACCCCTACTTCAGAGTTCCTGTGTCCATTCTCACGATCCAGAGACGATTCAAACTACAACGGTGACCACCACTCAGGTCTACTCGTTGTTCAACACACTGACGCAGCAGCCTACTTGGAAGAACGAGGCACAGAAGCCGGCTAACTTTGCAACTGTGACTGGAGGCTCATCGCAAAACAAGTACGCCGACGATGAACCGCAGGTGGACGCCTCCAAAGCACCTGGTTATCGGGGAACGGCTGTCTGTTCGCCAGTCTCCTCCAAGACCAGCAGCAACAGCACCACACCACCGAACCTGCCCAACTACTACGGAGACAGCAAGGGTCCGCTTCCGCCCATTGGCAGCAACCTTTCGCATAACAGGCCGCAAGCGAACAATAGCAGCAACGATGTGCCGCATTACTTCCCGTCGAATAACCATCTATCGGACTCGAGTCACTTCAAGAGCAACTATTCGGAGTCCGCACCGATATTGGCGGATTCCACGCCCCTTCTGCAAGCTTTCCAGGGCAATTCCATGCAGCAGCACTTGAACTTTTCTCAGCAGCAGCAACAGCAGCCCCCCGTTAGCATCTCCAGGCTCAATCCGAAAGCGCCCGATTTCTCGAGCAGCATGCACATGAGCAAGAACCAGATGTACAACGGCTACCAAAACTCCTACCCACCTCCAATTGCGAAGCCGATGTTGAACTACCATCGTAGGGAATTACCACCACAGCCACAACCACCACCACCTCAGACACAGGGGAACAACAACTGGGCTATGCTACAGATGCCCTTCAGTCATCAACACAACGACATCATGACCGGAATGGCCGGTTTGACCCTGCAACATATCGTACGTGCGACGGAGGCTATGATGGAGAACGGTGCTGGAGACATGGGGAATAACTCGCCTGCGATGTCTCCGAATCTTCCACCAGCGCACCAACTTCTTATGAACGAGAACCATTACTTGGAGGATCGCAACAAACCGCAGCCCATTGGCACTGAGCGCGCACGCAAGTCGTCCTTCAATCCATCTGGTAGCGGAAACGCCAGTACACCCACCAACGATGCCAGCAGTTGGATGAACAACCAATGGTCGCGCACCAATCTGGAACCCTTTCTCGGCAGGAACTCGTCTCTCTATAACGAAGATATCCACATAATCGATTCGACGCTACAAGTAAATACTTCGACATCTTCAATTGTCGCGCTGAATTGAACGTTCCTTTTACTAATTTTTGTTTTCTTTCTGTTTCTCTAGCATGGCATACCGCCAATGGAGCCCAATTTTAACATGAATATGTCACGCCAATTTTACTACCCACAATCGCAGCAGCAACAACAACAGCAGCAGCAACCGCCTCAGCAGCAGATGTCTGCTGTTGCCTCTGTCGCAGGCGCAACTGGCATTCAACACGACTTTCCCTCAGATCTTAAATCAGATTTGGCCACTTGGGAGGCAAGGCAGAACATGGCTGAGTTGCAAGATAAACAGCGCGTAAGTTTAACTAAATAAATAGTCTACTGTAAGAGATTTTATTGTTATCCATTTACTACTACACTACTAAACTACATCAATCAATCAGTATTTTTATACACACCAGCAATTCGTAATTTTATATATATAAATTGCTTAAAAACTTTTTTTGTGTTAAATAACCTTTAATGTAGTAATATATTGTACATCAACTGTATATTTAATTAAAAAAAAAGTGCAAATCTTTGTTATAAGTATATTAGCAAACATTATAAAAATCATAATTTCTGTGTGTTTCAGAGATGGTCGAATATGAACAACCGATGGAATCCGTAAAGGAATAATCACACCAGTATCTAAAACAGACAAAAACAAACAAACAACAACAAAATCATTTTATGTTTCTTTACATATTTTCTTTTTATTTTATTTTCTCCTCTTTATTATTATTATTATTCTTCGTTTTTTTTAGTTCCACTCAATTCGTCTTAATTTTTTGTTCATATTATATTTAAAAAAAACATAGATTTTTTTAAGGTATATCAATATTTAAAAAAAAGTATAAGTAAATTATGTGTTTAAGGGTTTAATGAAAACTGCAAAAAAAAAATTAAAAAATTATAATATATTACATGTTTTGTAGTAGGCCTTTACGACATGAGAAAAAAAAACAATCTACGATTAATGATAATTAAAATTGAAACCACGTTCAGTAGGCTTTTATTACGAATTTCAATTATTTTTTCTTTTTTTATGTGTTTTGTTTATTTTAATTTTATTATTATTCGTGTTGTGGGGGAAATAAACAAAACATTTATATAGACGGATTCTTGGTTTTGCTGTTCGTTTCTTCTTTTTTTCTGTATACATTTCACACTTTAATTTTAAACTTTTTCGGGTCGGTCGTTCACGTATGTCTCTGACGCTGTTTCATGTTGTTACTAAATGTTAGAAATTTTTGCATGCCACGAACTTTGTTTTTATTATATAATAATATACATGTGAGTAAATAAATATATATATACATATACAGACCTACATGCAAAATGTCTAATGGTATATATATATATTTATTCGGTTATCGCTAATAATAATAATAATGAGACCCAAAAATGAATGAGTGGTAAAAATCGGGTTTTGATTCTGAAGAGGAGAGTGATGTGGAAAAGAGAGAGAGAGGAACAGATGAACGAAGATTGTAGGCCAAATTGTGGATGATGACAAGAGACAACAGAGATTAAGAAGTATTGTGTAGGCGCGACGTTTACTAATATGTATATTTTTCCTGGGGGTTTCCTTGTATGTTTCTCTGGCGATTATTAGTGGTTCAAACTATTATTCAAGTAAACAAAAACAAACTAAAAAAAAAATATATGAATATTTATAATTCACAAACACACACACACACACAGATATTGAAGTGGGAGAAGATGAAAAAAAAAGTATATATATATATAATATTTAAGATTATTGGAATAAATAAAAGTAAACAAAAAAAAAACATAAAGGAAGCAATGGAGAAAAAAAAATGTTGCGACGCGAAGAAACTGCGAAATAAAGCAAAATAAAAAGCGTTACACTTTTTATTTTACTTTTGGAGCGAGGGAAAAAAAATGAAGAAAGAAAGAGATAGAGAGTGGATAGTTTCCTACTTTTTTGGGAGATGAGAGCGAAAGATAAGGGAAGAATTGGAATCCGGAAGCCTCGCGACCAATTCTCGTTTCCCTACTTTTCTTTTTCATTTCTTTATTTCGAGAACCTTTCTTTATATTAATTAATTACTCTATTTTATCCCCGCGCGGTGCGAGGGTGGTTCTTCCCTCTCGGCGCCGCCCCTCTGCGGGGAATAAAACAAAAAAAAGTATATAAGAATATTATTATTATTATAAAACAAAAAATACATATAAAAGAAAATAAATTTAAAAATGTAGGGTTATATTATTATATGGAATAATGTAATATTGCTTGTACATGAAGACTTAAATATATCTTTATGCACTGTATTAAAAAACAAAGAAAAACAAAAAAACGTGTCTTATTGGTTCATTTTATTTATTCCCTCATATATTCATTTGTTAAAGCGATTTTCTGTTGTTTTTTTTTTGTTGCTACATTTCAGCATTATTAGTTTATTGATGATTTTTTTTAATATAAATTTAAGTTAACATTGGTTTAAGCGTTCGCGAGTTACAGGAATGGTTCGATGTTGATCTCGAAGCAGGCGCAAGGCTTGCTCAGCTCGAACTTTACAAGAACTTCGGGATGCAAGACACCGATCTTGCCGATGACCTGACCGTTGGCGACGATCTCGGCGCATCTTCCAGGGAAATATCCGCAATCTGAAAGAGAAAAAAAGTTTTCTTATTCAACAGTAGGCTATGAATATTTAATTATTCTAATTTCACGAAAATTGGGGTTCAATTGACTAGTTTGAAATAGTTGAAAATTGAAACTCATGAATAATATAATGTGAATTATCTCTTCTTGATAATTGTTACATAATAAAATCTTAAAGATCATTTCAATAACAAAAACAGCGTCTTCGGTTTCTACACACCGATTGAATTTTTGCATTATTAATAAGATTTAAGTATTTTTGATGTTACTAAATTAATTTAAACGTATATAGGAAAATTATGTTAATTTTCATTAATGCTTGTAAAATTATAGTGAATCTCCTGGATTTTTCAAAAACTGTAACTGTACCTTCGGCTGCCCTCAAGTAGTAACCATACGATCCTTTGCCCTTCGCATTCCATGGAACTTCCAAGAGGACCATAATCCTATCCAGCAAACCATGGACAATCTCGAAACCGGCGGTGCGATTGCAGTTGACCGCACAAATCCTCCTTTCGTTTCTAGCACCAACCTCTACGAAACCAGAACAATTATCGTTAACTCCCTTCATTCCAACTGTCCTCCAACCTACCGGTATTCTCATCCTTCAGGACGACGTCGGAGATTTCGAAAACCTTGACCGGCAGCGGCATATTCTTATTGGCGGCGATGGTTTTCAGTAAACCGGGAAGAAGGGTCGTCCGACAGACCTGGAACTCCAACGTCTTCGGGTTGGAGATGTGCACGGCCGGAACATCTTCGATTTTCTTTCCGATCTTGCTCGAGATATCATCCTTGGAGCACTGAAATTAACATCACGAAATGAACAAAATGTGATTGATGAAATTAAGGAAATTGTACCAAAGAGAAAGTTAAAGCCTCTGTGAATCCAGCCTCCGCAATTGGATGGCGCAGCAGATCGGATAACTTGTTAATCGGGTATTGTTGGCCGATGGTGTTCGTGGACGGCAGAGTCCTGACGATGTTGTTGTAGCCGTAAGCGATGGCAACATCTTCGATGATGTCGCACGCGTGAATCACGTCATGCCTGGTGGGTGGTACCACAACTTTGATGTCCTCCTTACCCTCCAATAACTCGGACTGCAAACACATCTTCGACAGGAGATCGGCCAAATCCTTACCAGGTTTACTAAAGATAAGTTAATATTAGCAATCAATATGATTAAAACACCTTCGGATTATAATACCTGATTCCAATTGATTTATTGACTTCATCGACTTTAACAACTTCCTCCCTGTATTCCAAATCCGGGCACAATCGAACGTTACCATCGGGATACTCGACTTCGCAATATTCCACGCTGTATTTGTCGGTGCAGTACTGGCTGAACATGCACACGATCGTATCCAGAACGACCTTGGCCTTCGTCAAATCAGTTGCGGTGCATTCGATGAAAACATTCTTAGTGTTCAAACTGATCTTCGAATGGTCTCCGTTGATAATGGGCGGCATGGATAAAATCCTTCCCTTGTTATCACTGATAACCGGATACACCGGACTGTCTTTGATTATATGCAAATATTGCTTCAGCTGCGGATGCGTCTGAAATTAACAAAAGTATTAAATTAATTAATAACAACAACTAAATATTATAACATACTGAATAGTGATCCATGAGTTCGACGGCGGTAAATTCTTTGGTCTGATTCAGTGGCATGAATTTGATGTCGCTCGGTGGTTTCGCATCGTAGACGAAAGGACCTTCGATCGTGTCCAAGTCGTGCGTTCCGATGGCGACTAGAGAGCGCTTCCTGCATATATTCTGGTGGAGCTTATCCTGCAGATCTATGAAACTGTTGTACGAATCCTGCGTGAAGTACATGTTCCTGAGAATTGCAGCCACAGCGAATGGTCGGATCTTCGCCGTGTCCGGTTTTATGATCAATCGCTGCACGCATCCTTCTGCTGGCTTAATTGCCTTAAAATTTGGGATTTCCATTCTAAAGCATAAAAAACATTTATCAAAATAATCTCACCATAAACAATACCTAAGAAACTGTTTTTGTTTTTCTTCAAGTTTAAAGTAATAATCTATATGAATAGATATATTTTTTTTATTAGTTTGGATGATATCTAAAGATAAATTACTCACTTTCTTTGGAAAACCAAGAGACCCATGGTGAGTCCCTCAAGGCACAGCAAATCATATCTATTTGCTGGAATGTCAATTCTATAAATAACATCCTCTGAAGCGCCTTTCAAAGTTTCAGCATCATCCCCCTGCTCTTTGCTGATCATCTGTTTCTCTGTAGTCTTGCAACAATGAATCATAACAACGATTAATAACAATAAAACCTATTAATGTACATCACTACTTACGACTTCGTCCAGTTCCAATCCGAACTCGAAGCATAACATTTGGAACTCATCATCAGCTGCAAACATATTGAATTTTCAAATATTTATCATTACCAATAAAGTATAGATTTTGCTCACTGTATGTTTTGCCCAAGGATTTGAACAGCACGTCCCTCTTAACACCAATCGTCGGCATTTTTATCCTTTTAATTCCTTTCCTATAAGAACCAGGCGAATTGCATCAGATCAGATCACTGCTTCTTTTCGAGGTTAGAGCACATTTGATGACACCTGATGTCACACTGACAGATCCCTTTTAATTATTGCCAACATAAGAATTCGAGGAATTCGCGAATATTCCAATAAGATAATATCAAAATATTTATTATAAATATTGATCATTTGGTGCGTAACATTAGCTCACATTGTAGACGAGAGATCTACAATAAAAAGTCTAGTGTTTCAGAATAATCAATAACAGTCAAGTTGTTGCATCTTCCACACGAATCTGATTCTTCTCGATTCATCCTGCCGCTTTATTCTATCTAACCTCACAATCGATTGCATTGATAAGAATCGTTCAACAATGGAAAAAATTGCAGAGGTGAGCTAACATTCACATTCTTTTTTTATTCTCTCATCACCTACTAATTCCTATTTATTTTAGTTAAAGAAAGATGTTGCTGAGATGGAGGCTCTCATAGCCGCAGCCACCAGGCAGAAAGTCAAAGACTTCCTCTCAATTGAAAACAGGAAGTTGGTTACAGAAATTGTTAAGCTGGAGGAACAGCAGAAGACTGCAACACCTGCAGCAACTGATGCTGCCAAGTCTTCTGCAGTCAAAAGGCATTACCAAGTGAAACTTAACAATTATGGTATGCCCATACAAAAATTGTGATTACAATCAAATTATTACTATTTTATTTTACAGCATGGGATCAATCCAATAAATTTGTTAAGTTCTATGTGACAGTGAAGAATGTCCATTCAATTCCTGCAGAGAATGTCTCCTGCACATTCACAGCAAAATCACTTGAGATGCAGGTCAAGGATCTTGACAATAAGGACTACATTATGAACATCAACAATTTGCTGTATCCTGTTAATCCAGAGAACAGCACATGGAAGATTAAAACAGGTATTTTATTCATACTTCCCGTTTTACGGACTCGGTGTTTCGTAAAACGTTTTTGATTCAGAAATAAAATAGAAAATGTAAAACACTTTACAACTTTGTGATATAATATTGAATATTGTTTTAGATACTGTTGTCATTAATGTGGCCAAGGTCGATACGCTCTCGTGGTCGCATGTTACCGATATCGAGAAGAGGGCCAGCGATGCAAAGAAGATGCCGAAAGCGGAGGAGGGTGGTGATCCCAGCGATAATATGATGTCCATAATGAAGAAGTTCTACGACCAAGGAGATGATGAGGTTAAGCGCAACATCGCCAAGGCATGGACAGAGGCTCAGGAAAAGAAGACCACAATGCCACTCTAAATCCACAAATGTATAAAGTTTTATACTAATACTGTTTCTTTTTTTATATAAGAAAAAAAAAGATGCTAGCTTTTGTAGGCTAATCTCGTTTTGTTTTCACTGAATAAGTATTATATATACAAGTTGTTTGTAATAAACTGGAAATATATACAAATATAATCTGAAATTTATTATTTTTATTATTAATTGATATCTAATTACATTTATCAATTTTCACGACGAGACAGAATATCAAAAATACATTGATTTTGATCTTTCTTGTATTAAAATGGAACAAAATACTTTACGACTCTAAACATACCAGTTTTAAACAATTTTACTTTATTTTAATAGAGTTAATTTGAACATGCTTTTTTTTCACTCCTGCTTCTTACTTCTTGGAAGAGTCTCTGCCATTTAGCTACATCAACGCATTTGATCATGCTTACAAAGGCATTATTGCAATTTTCTAGAAAATGTACAGGAAAGAGGAATTTCCATTTAATTTGGTTGGAATGAATCTTGATAGACATCGGATTGTAGATTTTGACGAAGTTGTTTGAATGCGCTGTCTAAAAATTTTTTACGTCTAGAAATTTAGGATTATCTGGCCCCTCAAAGAGTTAAAGGATAACTATACTATAAGTTATCCTTTATAGTTGGGATTAAGAAATCTATATGTGGATAACACATTTGATGGGACGCCACTGGATAACATAATCGCCTAAGTCAGAGCTTTCCAACCGTTTTATACCTTCACATCCATTAGCATTACATGTTTCCTACTATTCGCTAATTCTTTAATAATTTTATATTAGAATCTGTTGCTCTATGTTTATATAATTATATAGTGTATTAGTGAAAGTACTATTATTGACAATTTGGTTGACACATGAAAGATAATTAATAATGAAAAAAAATGCGGATGATTTACATACATAAAATATATAATTTATTTAAATAAATGTATGAACTTTTACAACAAAATCATTCATTAATATAATAAATCCGTCATATAAACAGCTATATATATACAATATTTATTAAAATTATTCAACAACAAACAAAAATATAACATTATTATATAAGGCCTCTTTTTACACTCGGTATATAAATGAAATCGTTTATTCAACCGAATTTTTCTCCCTAAATACGGATTACGAATGACTCTCACGCGCACGTTCATCTCTGAGTTCAGCCTGAAGAACTGTATTACTAATGGTGAGTTTAATATTCGTTTGCTCGATCTTCGACAGTTTTTTGGTCATCCTCGCCATGCTCAGAAAGAAGAGATCGGTGTCGTCCAAATTTTCGAGCAACTCCAACGCCGGTTTCGTCGTGCAATCCTCCTC